TTTTCTGTTTTCCATCATTTTAAGCATCTTATGGACCCTTTAGCTCCGCTGTCCTACACACCTTTTTGTTTTGGTCTCTCTTCTCTTTTGCCCATTGTTTCTTTTCTGCCTTTTACTGCTTTGCACTATTTTTCTTTTCACTTTTTAGCTTGGATTTTGTCTTTGTTGTCCTTTGTCTAGCGCCATCACCATCATCTTTTATTCTTTTGTCAAAGTGCCAGATTTTATATCTGTGTGGTGTAAAATGTGTCAGAAAAGTACCGTCTTTATTTATCGAGGACAAAGTCAACTCAGTTTGCTTTATTTGTAAAGACAAAAATATTGGAGAGGAGAGCTTAACTATCAGAGACTTCCCCATGAACAGCAGTTCACTGAGAGAAGGAAGAAATCCTTAACAGAATCCATAACACAAAGAGACTGAACCAGGAACCTGGTCACAGGTGTCCTCAGGCATCTTCTCACTCCAGGAAAGATCTCCATACCTGCACAGGTGTGTCATCTGGACCAGCGGCCTCTCCACTCTAAGTATAATCAACATGCAGCCACAAATCAAATCTACCCAAACATTCAACAGTTTCTTGCGCAGGTTTTCACATTCCAGTTTTGGGATTCTGATTAACTTTTTCTCTCTCGCAGTGATTATCACCTTCAGGTTGCGTCATTGTTGCACATTCATTACTTTTTCATGTAAAATAAGTGATTTTCCATCTCTCACTTTGTGCCCAGATAAGTATCTGCAGCTTGGCTCTCTGAGAAAACAAAGAGCATTTCTGCTCACTTTCTAAAATCACATTTTTATGCCTTTACTGTTGTCACATAGTGGGCGATGTGGACACGCAACTTTATGAACACGATAACTCAAGGAGTGGCGATTACTAAAACCTAAAGACCAATTCAACTATTAGCAACCTTGACCCGAATGTTAAGGTCAGAGGTCAAGTTTTCTGAAAATTTTGTGAAGGTAATTTAGGCATTTGACAAATAGGGTACAGGTTGGCAGATCATTCCACACTGCAGTAGCATCACTACCAACTCTGGTATTGTTATTAGATCGAAATTAGCAGAACAGGATCTTAGTGGAAAGAAAAGTGTAACTTAAAAATGCAATATAAAAAATGTCTGAGCCTTTTTGTATTGACTGTCATGTTTATTTTACTTATAGACTATAGCAGATTAAAAGAACAGAAGGTGACCCAAAGTGCTTTACAGACAGGCATACATTTACACTCAGGTCCACAAACAACAGTTTAAAAATAAAAAGCAGAAAGGTGCGTTTTGTTGAACTCGTTGTGGAAAGTAAAAGTCACAATGATTTAGTGATCATTAAAATGTGTTCAGCCTTTGCAGATTGATGATTCATTTCATAAATCATGACGCACTGATCTCCCCAGCATACACTCTCTTCACAGGTTAAAAGTATCGGTACTGGTATCTGTAATACTGACCCAGTATGTATGTGGTATTGGACCAGTACCAACTTTTCCAGTATCACACACTGCAGGCTGTGAGGTACCAATCACTATTCGATCATGTGTACTCTGAGACAATGCCGCTAAGAATACGTAATGATTACACTACAGCAGGGGTAGGCAACTCCAGGCCTCGAGTGCCGGTGTCCTGCAGGTTTTAGATCGCACCCTGGGTCAACACACCTGAATCAAATGATTAGTTCATTACCAGGCCTCTGGAGAACTTCAAGAAATGCGGAGGAGCCATTTAGCCCTTTAAATCAGCTGTGATGGATCATGGACACATCTAAAACCTCCAGGACACTGGCACTCGAGGCCTGGAGTTGCCTACCCCTGCACTACAGTTTAATAAATTGTGTTCACTTCTGGTGACACAGGTGTTTCTGGGTGACCCAGCAGGCAAATGTTTTGCCACCTAATGATTCTCCTCCTGGGAGGATAAAAATGGCTTTGACTTTTCTGTCTTGTAGAAACAAAACAACCTCAAAGAGCTTCAGATGATGAATAACATTGACAAAGTTCCTCCTGACTTCCTGATACTGGCCACAGAAGTACAAAACTTCAATTTTCCATGCAGCTTAGAGTTCTGAGAAACTTATCTGTTCCAGCACTGAGAGGATGATGAAGTGGAGGGTGGACAGCCTGTAACCTTCATCCTTTATTGTCAGGCACACACAGGAGTCCATTGAGTGGAGACAGGAAGCAGAGGTCTTCGACTGTCTCCAGATACTTTACCTCAGTGTGGACTCGATGAAACGGCGTCAGGCTCCTTCTTTGAGTCCAGTCTGGACTTCCAGACATGTCACAGGAGCTTTATTTCATCCTGGAGTCGCTTTGATGTATGCCTCAGTTAGAGGAAACCTTCACAGTAAATCATTCAGCTGAAAGCTCTGGATTAAAGACATTAAAGAGAAGGGGAACGTGGGTTTGAAATAAGTTTAAAAATGGCATTAAAACCTTTTCTTTCAGCAGCTTCTGTTCAAAGTGTCAGAGGCTGGAGGTTGTCCTACTGGGCTGTCAGCGTTACATAAGGAGTGAGGGTGTGGTGGGCAGATGTGCTCCCAGCTGTCAGTTCTCTGCTAAAAAATAGCTTTTTGTTGCTCAGCCGGTTTCTGTCTGCTGCTCAGAGTTTGGTGCCGTCTCCAGTTTGCAGAAACGTCATGGAGGAGAGAGAGGAGCTGTAAATCCACCACAGCACGCTGCTGAGAGCCGTCATGTTCACTTTGAAACTTAAAGGTCACAGTGTGCCTGAAAACAACTTAAAGAGAGACAGACCTGCTGCTTAAACATGAATTAAAAAACCTGCAGTTCCTCTGATGTCCAAAAGAGGCTCCAGCAGTGAATCAGTCCCCAGAAACTGTTACAGCTTTACAGGAGAAATAAACATGTTTACAGTCTCAAGCAAAAAGTCTTTGGTCTCCATAGATAATTTCCCCCTTCAGTACATCTGTATACATCTATGTATAACTGACCAGCATTAAAGAGAGCGTGGCCTCTTTGATCAGTCTGCTATACTACAGTGGTCCTTTGCTACAATGTGGCTCGCTGTTTCGCTGAATTGTTTTGTGCAATTTTGCATGCTTTTCTTTTTTTTTTACAGCACATTGTGTTCTGCAACCTGATTGGCTGTAGACCATTGTCAATCAATCTCGTGTCGTGTCTCCTGTACAGTACAGAATGCGTTCAGCTTGTCACATTTAAATCTTTGATCGCTAGCAGTGACTCTGAAGTGCTGTACTGTATGTCTGTAAGTTTTCTCCCCAACAAACACAGCAATGTCGACGAAACGTTTTGCACCGTCAAAGGCAACCGAGGGTTTTTGGTTTCATTCTATAATACTGGACTTATTTTTCTACGAAGGTTTGAACTTTGAGAGTGTTTAAACAAGAGAGAAAGGTGTGAAAATGTTCGTGCCTGTCTGAGAAAAGTGTATAGAGTGTGTAGTGAGGGGTTTTACAGTCTTAAAACATCTATAATAATTGTAAAATATAAAGTTAGCTACTTTGCAGTTTTCACCTATCGCGGGTTATTTCTAGAATGTAACTCCCGCAATAAATGAGGGACCACTGTAATAATCATGAATGTTTTTTTTTTTTAATGTTTAATGGGGTTTTTTTTAAGTAGATGGACACAAATTCAGGATTACTGCTCAGCAGGATAAAACTGGAAAAACTTAGGATCCAAATAAAACTTAGAGACGGGACTGCAGAAACTGGTGGCTATGTCCATCTTTTATATACAGTGTACATTTTTTGGATGATACAGCATTGTTTCTGAGGGTTTGTTAAATTCCTTCAGAACGTTAAATAAAATTTAGAAAATACAAATAAAAAGTGAATACCTTCAGCATGAGGTTAATAGCTGTGTGTTTTTTGTTCAGATATTAGTTTTTAAGTTAAATTGAGAGCAGGAAGACTTTGTGAGTTTGTGTTTCTGGGTTTCTCCGTTGAAAGTGTTGACTGACTGTTTAGCAATGGTGGTCTGTTTCATCCCTTCACTGATTAAATCAAAATGTGTTTGCGAACTTGCAGCCATGAACTATATTTAGCTGCAGCTCCTTTTACTCTCTGAACTCTGTCTTTCTTCTCTTTATGGAAAATGTCCTCCACACATTAGCTGTCCAAACATCACCTCCAAAATGCACAAATTGAATAATTCAGCCCAGTTAGCTGAACAAACACACACCTTCACGAAAGTTAATGGAATTAACGAGCTGCACTTAAGTGTCTGTTGACATTTGTGTCTTTAAACCAACATCCTGTCCTGTAACGAGGCCACGCTGATTAACTCCTTGCTGCACAGACACGAAGCCGGCGTCCAGCTGAGGACTCTCCAACAACAACTGGCCACTGTTTGAAGTGTGAGCACGCGTCCTGCAGACCTGAACAACAACACCAACGTATCCAGGCCACCAAAGAAGAAGAGGAAGAAGCAACCAGCTCCTTAATGAACTGCACTCCATTACAGAAAGTGGAGCTCTGTGTTTATAACTGTTATTACAGGGGAATAACCGCACTCTCCAGCCTGTATGCCAAAATAATAAAAAATAAAACAGCCCAGGATACTGAGGAACCTTTTCCTCCACCAGGAGGAATTTTAATCAAGAGTTATGAATTTAAAAAAATCTTTAAAATGGTCAAAATAAAAAAATGTGACCAAATGAAAATAAAATAAAGAGTAGAACATTAAAGTCACCAAATAAGATTTAAAAGTATGAGACTAAAATCTAAAAGTAGGGATATGTCAAAGTATAAATACAGCATCTTTAAAACACATTTTATTCAAACCTGGCATGGTAAAAAACAAAATCATTCACTGGGGCTGTATCCCAGTGGGTTAAAAAAAATTAAAATGATTAAGAAGAAAATTTCATGAAAAACAGAAATTCAGTTGAAAAAAATAAATTATGATATATGCAACTTTATAGATACTTTATATTTTAAAATTAAAAAATAACCATTTTGATTTTAAAATATTTAAAATATTTGGATTAAGAGACAAAAAGATTAAAAAAAAAAGAAGAAGAAAGAAATATCTTCTAAAATGAATTATTATTAATGTAAGGAATCATTAAGAACATGTGGTGACTGTAAGACTGAGTCAAAAGTGTTGACTTATTGTGTCCAGAGTGCAAGATAAAATGTATTCTGTTCAGTAAAAAAGTCAACGTCACACACATATAGATAGAATGATGTTATTTCAAACTTGTAAATATAATTGATATAACAAGGGAAAAGAAAAACTTAAAAACATCAAGTTTTCTTCAAAATCTCTATGTCTACACAATGTTTATGCTCAAAAAGGAGTAGGATGAAGTTAACACTTTTTTCAGTTTACACGTTACCTCATCCTCTAACACCTGCCCTGTTTCCCTCCCAAACACTCACCTGACTCCATTCCACCAATCACTGCTTCAGTGTGTAAAACCCTCTTCACTACTTCACCTTTCAGACTGTTTTCGTACAAAGGCAGGAATCTGTTTGGTTTCCCTTGTTGTGTTTTCAGGTGCATGACTGTAGATATGCCCTGCCCCCTCCAGCTTCCTGTGAGCATCCTCTTGGGGAATAAAGCCTCCTCTATGTCCTCTGGTTTGACAGCGCTGACAGTTTCTCTCATCAGAACTTATGATCTGATGAGGACGAAGCGAACAAGCAGTTCCATGTCTGACAGTGTGAAGGCTTGAGAACTTCAAACGCCGACTCTGCATATTGCTGCGATGGCATCAGAGGAATGTTTTTGGAGCAGTATCATCACCCTCATCACCCTGACCTTAGGTGAAAGTTCAGATTATTTTATATTCATGAAAACCCTTGTTGTGGCTCGTGAAAAGTAAAGGTGAAGCCTCAAACCTGAATTCTCTGTAATGTCCAGGGGGGGAACTCCTCTGCTCAGATTGTATAGAGCTCGCCTTCTAAGAGAAAATGAGCGTCCTTCTCAGGTGATGGGTTTCTGGTCGCAGATTGAATGAAACATGATGATCATTTTGGAGGTTATGGTCATGGTAGAGTTACAGAGGAGCAGGAAGTAAGGAACAACAAGCTGCCCAATGAACACGAAGTAATCCTCAGTTTTCTAATGTCTGTTTTCTAAAAGACAAAACAAAAGGGTTATGATGAAAACAACTTCTAGCTTGAAGAACTTCACGCTAATGACATATGGCAAACATAAGAGATCATACAGAGTTCAAACAGATGATTTAGCAGCTGGCTCGAGTCTGCACGCAGATACAGACATAAAAACAAAAGATCAAATAACCTGAAAGGGGTGGCGATCCATACAGCACAGTAGCACCATATTCATTTATTGATATTGTCTCGATACAGGGACACCAAATATCAGTGTTCTGTTAAATAAACAAAAATACTCAGGAAATATTATGAACAGAGGGCCTCACCAACATCCTGAGACAGCGTTAGCTGAGCAACTAGCATAGCTCAGACTGAAGTCACTCAGAGAGATTACTGTCTGGTTTATAAATACAGACAGATTGCAGACTCATGAGTGAGTGAGTCTGTGTCAGTGAGACCATTCAAGTGGACTCGACTTAACTCTGGTTACATTCCTGTAGATCAGAAAGGCTGTTGAGCACACATGTAATAATTAAATTTGTACACAGCTTCACCTACATGATTTTCACTGATTTGTCACTGTTCATTGCTGTATTATCAGAAAAAAATTGCATGTAATTGCTTCGTTGACATTTATTCAATCACACACTGGTTGCAGACTGACTGTCTTACAGCAGGTTTTAGTGACAGTTTGTTTATCTGATGTCTCATTTAGCAGAAAAAAAACATAATCTTACTTGATAAAACAGACAGATAACTGTGAGGACAAAATCTGCAGCAGAAAAATGTGATTGTTATTGCAAAACTCAGCGTAATCTCTAGAATATTGTATGGTCGGGTGTCTGCAGAACGACTTCTGACCCATGACGTTCTCTTCAGGTTTAACAGGTGTTAGTCAATGTGAAATAGACTGCTGTGATTGGTCATAAATCTTTTTTAGAAAAGAAAACATGTTCAGTGTTTAGGCAAGTTCAAATAAACATTTAAATAACTTCAAAATAAAAGCTCAACAATTTTTTTCACTGGTTGTACAGATGGGCTGTTAACAGATGGCTCCACAGAATTAACACGCTAACACTGATGCTTCAAAAAGAACAGATTCACCTGTGAGCGAGTTGACACCTGGGATAACAGTGATGTCATCAGGTTACGATAAATCTGTGGAACAGTCTGCACCGCCCCCTGTGGGAGTAACGTGCAACTACTGGAAAAGATGCAAGGGCCCAGTGATCCTCAAATCTCACAGGGGTTACAGGAGGAGGTCTGGTGCAACTTTAGGGGTGGGTGGGGCTTTTTCAGCTTTTATTGTGCTTTTATTTTATCGAGGAAATAAAGGTCCTCAAACCTGTGCACGAGCCTCACAGCATGTGGGGTCACCTTCTGAGCTTATGACTCCCAGGCATTTGTTTCCACATGTTTGCCATCCTAAATCCTTAAAAGGTTTCATGTGAATATCCGACACTTTAAAACACGTTTGTCCTGTGAGTCAACTGCAGGGTTTGGCCATCAGGTGTTGCTGTTTACACTGAAAGAATGAGTTTAAACTGGTACAAAGTCTGCAGAGAACTCTGCAGTGAGTGTGAGTGTGTGTGTGTGTGTGTGTGTGTGTGTGTGTGTGTGTGTGTTCTGTAGAAGCTGTTAAGCTTTGTTGATCTTTGTGATTACATGTCGTTTTGGCTCCGACGGCTCCGAACATTCGTGGGAGGTTTGGAGAAGCATTAAGTGGAAGATGGAAAGTGTTTGGCTGCTGAGCACGGAGCTTTTAGCACATTCCTGTGCAGCGGCGGCAGAACGTGGTCTGGGTTCAGTCCTGGTCAGCGCACTCCTTTCTCCTGCTGGAGAAAACTTAAAGCCCGTCAATCAAAGCCTGAGTCAGCGGGTTGCGGTCCTGTTGCCGATAGCTGAGCCGGCAGCGAAGAAAGGTGCTTCTTTGTTTGGAGCGTGCGCTGTCTTTTCTCTGCAGGCGGACCGCGGGGGAAAGTCCCCGACCTCCCCTCAAAGTGTAGGGGAGATTATTTAAGAGCCAGCTCTGCCTCAGTGAGGGGTAATTACTCTGAGTACTCTCAGGCTGCTGCTCGCTGATGATTTTATGTGGCCATGTTGGATTTATGTAAGGCGACCTGCAGGCCTGCAGTGTGACGGCCTCAGGTGGGCAAGGAGCTGCCAGAAAGTCCTACTCAGACTTTCAGTTCGTGTGAAGTTAACGATGGTGTGATGTTTGAGCTCAGCAGAGGGCCGAAACACTTCGTGCTGCTCTGAAGTTTATGCTCCATCTGAGGCTGAGCTTCAAGTCATTTTCATTCAGCTTTAAATATTTTTGTCTCCAGGAAAGGTTCCCATTAGTTCCAGGTTCTAAAGAATACTACAGCATACTGGTGCTTCCAGGGAGACGCTGTGAATCCAGTCTCATCGCTCGTCCTGCACAGGAAGTTCTCGTTCTGCTGCTCCACTGCAATCACGCCTCCCATAGTTGCTCGCCTTTCTCCATCCCACCGTCTCTTACTGCCACAGCTCAGTTTAATCTGTAAGTCCTTCAGCTGATCCACAAACAGTTCAGAATGCCTTCACATACCAAACACCACTGTAATCCACCAGTGTGGAGTGACCTCAGGAGACAACTCAGTGTGGAGTGGGTGAGGACCTGCGTGCATCTAAAGGTTGACCTTTGACCTCCTGTGACCATGTGTCCTCATATGGGGGATTGCATTTGAGCTTTTTTATTGACGACGATAAAAGATGATGCTTAGTCATTATATTCACCTTCAGTTCATTTCAGCGGGGATCAAACATCTATCTCAGGCTAAATCCCCTCCAGAGCGTTGACATCCTACTAGCTGGAGTCAGCAGCTGGGGATCAAACCACCAGGACCTTCATCCTAAACCCACCCAGATGTGATGAGTGTCGCTGTTAGTGTCAGATTGTTTTGAAACCATCACTGAAACAAACAAATTCAACTAAACAAATCTGCACGAGGAACAGACTGACTGTAAAAATGAGACAGAAGGAGCAGGACAGGTAATCGTTACCAACACAGGTGAGAACAATCAGTGCGTCAGGTAAAAGAACACTGACACTTCTCACATGAATGTCGAGGTTTTTAAGATCATTGCAGGCTCGCTGGGAACCTCGTGAGCTCCTGGAGGACTCATAGCACTGGATGAATCCCTCTGATGAGCTGTTCAGTCCCAAACACAAGGACAGCATAGAGGTCAGGACTCAGCACTGCCACCACAGCATAATTACCCTCTCCACCTCCGCCTCACTCCTGCGTCTCCACCTGCAGCCCTGACACTAAGCCTTTATGCCCTGTGGATTTTGTGGTTTGAGGCTTTGCCACTCTGTACCTGCGGAGAGTTTTTGGCTGGCTGGGGATCCACAAAGCCTCCCGGCCACCTCGAGCTGTCGGCCCAGGCCGCAGAACAGTAAACCTGGCTGAGGCCAAGACCAGACTGTGGTCAGGTCAGAGCCTCAGGATTCCCCTCAGTGTGCAGGAAGCAAACAGCTAACATGAAACTCTGCAACAGCAGCACACATCAGTGATTTAATCCTGAGATGAGCTGCAGGTTCTTTTCTTAATGAATCATTTGGGCTGAAAAACACCAGAAAACAGGAAGAAAGCACAGAGTGACACGTCTGCTGCCAGTACAGGATAAATAACCTGACCTGAGGTCACACTCCGCAGCTTTACTGCTAAGCAGACTGATGATGGTGCAGATGGCTAATGGATAATACTGTAACAGACTAATACAACAGTATAACACAGTAACAGGCTGTCTTGACTTCAATTCTTGTGCTCTATCGTTTTATCGAATCTGTGATGTCTTTTTGTATTGCTGCCTGGTTTGGTAACCTGACGGTGAAGAATAAGAATCAGTTGGGACTTCTGGTAAAAACTGCTAGCAAAATTTCAGGGCGCTGGCAAGATGAACTTTTGGCCATTTACAATTAGGGATGGGTACCGGTATCCGGTGCCATGATGGCACCGGTTCTGACATAAACGGTAGTAACCAGACCGAAAAGCAGCGCACATTTCGGTGCTTTATTTAGGTGCTTTTTTTCCGTGAGATGTCATACACTTTGAATTCTAGCCAATCAGTTTACGTTTCCGAGGATAGTAGGCGGGTCCAGGTACGTACGTTCTTTTAGAGCAGAGCTACAGATTAAAAATGCCCAAGGCGAAGTGGTCAAAAGTCTGGCTGTACTTCACAGCAAAATATGCAAACTCAGCAGCCTGCAACAAGTGCTTTAAGCTGATACTGTGATACTGTCAAAGGAGGTAACACCTCAAATCCGATGAAACACCTGGCGACGCATAGCGTTTTTTTTTTAAAAGCCGAGAAATGCGCCGTATTTGATAGCTTGCTGCGAGACTTCACACCGTGCACATCTACTGTGGGTGTGGTGCCTGTTATCGGACCCGGAGTTAGCATCATCCCCCAAAAACCCGAAGAGGAGAGTCCTGGCCCCTAGCCCTGCCAGTGTAGCAGAAATGATGACGGATGATGATGGCAGCAGCAGCCGTTCTTCTCTGCGTGAGTAGCTTAATGTTGTTCGTGTATAATTTATGTTGAGTAGGCTAACCACGTTATTACATTAATGCATGTAAGGTGAACTAGCAAACATCATCATAGCTACATGCGGCTGTCTTCTTGTTTGATGGCAGATCCTCCCTTCACCCTGGCCAAAAAGGCTAAAATGACCAAAGAAAAAGTGGGAAACAGCTAAACATGAGAGGTTTTTGGACAAAGTTTGTGTTTTTTCCATTGTTTAAGCACTGCTTCCAGCCAAGAGTGATACCATATATGCCCCATAGCTGCAGAAAAGGCTAACATTGTTATCTTTTTACAAAAAAACAGCTGAACATGAGAGGTTTTTGGACCAATTTTGTGTTCTCCATTCTGTAAGCACCGGTTTAAGCACCGTTTAAGCACCGGCACCATTTCAAAAGTACCAGTTTGGCACCGGTATCGGATAAAACCTAAACGATACCCATCCCTATTTACAATAGAAATGTGCTCAGAAAGGCTCATTCTATTATTAATTGTGTGAACCATCCACTTCACAGTGAGTTTGAGTTGTTGCCTTCCGGCCGCCGTTTTAGAGTACCTCCGAGGAGGACTAAAAGACTCCAGGTCTCTTTTATCCCTACTGTGTCTTGTCTCCTTAATGGCAAATAATTGTCCTTGAACTTTCTATCATTATTATTGTTATTATTATTTTATAGTATTGTTCTGTTTATTTTTATCCTCCTGCTGCTAAACTAATTTCCCCTTGTGGGACAATAAAGAAATTGAATTGAATCTGTTCATTGTGTGCGTGGTGGGGGCGGGGCTTAAAACAACCTGAAACAGTGAGCAGAGGAGAGAAATCAGAGCACTTCCTTCCTTCTTAGCTTGTCACTCAAAGCACTTTCTACACTACTCTTTTACCAAATCACACACACATTCCTACATCACTTCCTCTGTGCCCGAGGACGTTGTCCAACATTTATACATGATGGAAGCATCAGGGACAACCTGGGGTCTGCTCAGGGACTTGGGGACCAACCCACTGATATTCCAGTTGGTAGGTGACCAGCTGGATGCCTGGACCACAGCCACTCTCAGACTGCTGAAACACATGAACTTAATGACACTGTGATTTCACAGTGTTTTCACTACCCCTTAATAATGTTTTGAGTTTTAATTGCACTATACATTACAAACAATACATTTTAAAACATTAAAATTATCATTTTAAATTAAAACTCTTATGAAGATTCATTAACCACTCCATTTTCAGAAAAAAGGAATTTTCTGGCAATTATTTAATTGTTCAGACTTTAACAGGCCGACTGTATTTTCACTGTGATTATTGGCTGCTGCCATGTTGTCGTTTCCTCTCCCATATTTAATAAAAAGTGCATTCTGGGTAAACTTTCAAGGCTCACATCGGCATTCAAATATTTTAGATTCATGAAAGGTTTGTTTTTCACCTAAATTTGAAAGTAGGATCATTTTTCCAGCCCTGATTTCTTCAGGTTCAGAATCATTTTGTAAAGGCTGACTGTTTTTCCTGCGATGAAGCTGAAAAATGTCTCTGCTGTCATGCTTTCCATGATAACCCAGTCAGAAAATGTAATTTAATTTTAATTAAATCCCACAAGCCTTTGAGTTTACACAGAATGCATGCTTGGGCGTTATATGAATTATGAGAGAGGGGTCAAACATCCACCCAGGCATGTTTCTGCTGCTCTGCGTCACACATGTTTAAACTGGAGCTAATGGTTTCAGTGGAGAGCTAGCTGATGCTAATGCTCGGTGAGTTAAACGTTCGGAAATAAGATCATTAACAGAGGAAAGTTCTGACGTTTGTAGTATTTGGCACCTCTGGGCCACCGTAGCTCGGTCCTGCAGCAGGCTGGTATCAGACGTCCCCTCTCTGCCTACACTTATTTTCTGTGTGAGAGCCATCAGCAGTATTTCAAACATGCAGAGAACAGCCAGCAGCATTTAAGGGCCTCTGAGCTCTTGGCAGCTTGGCGTTTCCAATGAGCTCCTCTGGGAAGCTTTAACTGTGTGCAGTCGGAGCTCGAAGTCCTGAGAATTTAAACCAAACGGCCTTTTAAGACCAACAATAAAATCCCTGCCATACAGACTAAGCTGCTTTGTGCGGTATTCATTTCTGGAGTTATAACCAGCTTCCTGTCACCAGTGCTGTGCATGGAGCTGCTCAGAAATAACGGAAAACACGCCGCCGTCCTCCTGCTGTCCGCCTCCCTCTGTATAGCTAACAATTTTACGTGTTCATGAAGGTGAAGTTTTCCAGCGCTATCTGAGGTCCTCTCTGCACATGCCCAGTTCACTCCTTTTCTGTAAGTTAGTCCACATTGAGGACGATTACAGCCGAGTCCGAACAACCGAAGTGGACCCACATTCACACTGAGCCACTCTACCAAACACACATTCTCACCCTTCACATTTCTGCAGGTCCTCTCAGATTCTCACCAAAGACTGTGAAGAATTTCAATTGAGTAAGTTTCATAGAAATACAGAACCTTTGAAAACAGCATGACGACACAAAGTGTTTAGGAAGTCTCTCCTTTTCATTCCTGTCAGGTTTCAGGGCCTCTCAGCTACGATCCACACTTGATGATCTCGAGTGTGGCCTGATGTCATCAAACTGGAAATTAGATCCAGCACAAAGAGCTGGACAGGCGGAGCTCTGAATGTTTAGAGGTTGAGGTCGGCTGAGGAGAAGGTGGCCTTCATCAGCACAAAGGTTAAGCTAATCAATAATCAGTTGAGGTGGCAGCTTTGAAATCGCTGCTCAGCTACACTTCATGTCCTGGACAACACTGCCACCGTGTGGACAGACAGCATAAGAGCAGCAAGTTCACAATTACTCCTAGGGTCAAAGGTCAGAGATCAGGGATTTGTTGGGATTTGATTTGCCCGTCAGCCTCAGCAGTTTCATCACTCTTTAAGGTTCGACCAATAGAAACTGTCAGCTGATTGGTGTTTGATCACATTCATCAAAAACTAAAATGTGACCATCACAAACATCACAGTGATGTCATGTCTGGTGGATTTAGAGAGAAGGTGGATAAAAGTGCTTCAGTTCATCATCTGAGAAAATATCAAACAAGAAGAAGTCCCATTTTCTACATTTGTAAGACACCTTTAAAAGTTTAAAATCAGAATTGGATTCACGGTCCTCTGACACCCAGGCAGACCATCCTTTATTTATGAAAGTTTTAGCTCCAGAATATTAATTTATGTTAAGTTTGAAGCCATGTAAAAATAAAAATAAAAAATAAAATAAAAAACATGAGAGGGTGGGTCAAAGTTCAGCTCTTTAAAGGCCCGGGCTCCAGAACCAGCCCGCCAGACAGCTTTGGAGAATATTTAGCAAATGCATTCCCCCATTCATACCACACTGAATCAATTTATAAAAATAAAAACTTAATTACCCTATAAATATGGGACAGTATGGTCTGTGTACTAACAGGACTTTATTGGTAATTTTGCTGTTCAAACTGTGCTTCATTTTTTATTCTTTAACCCTGTAATCCAATCCAACCCATCAAAGAAATATTATAATTCATATGTTTAATAACCTTCATAACAATTGTTTTGCTATATCATGTTGTTTAAGATATATTTTGTTAGATTTTTTTTGCATCACAGTTGATACAGTGGGTGTTTTGGGCAACTTTTTGTTAACAAGAATGTGAAATTTAGACCCCCAAAAAGGTTTTGTCCATAACATTTTGAAATTATGTCAAGTATTGATCATGTTGATGAGCTCTCAGACACTCATGTAGCAAATATGATACAAATGGCATAATACGGTTAAATGTGATGTGAGGACTGAGCGCCGGCAGCTCAGCGTTTGATGTTTGTGTGACAGTAAGATGGAGACAGAGACGAGGCGTCGGCTGTTCGGTCGATTCGTTTATTATTTCCCGCACAAAAACAAATACAGCTGTTTTTAGTAGAAGGTGTTTGGTCTCTTGGTGGTGAAGCGGGGTTTGTGCTGGCGGCGCAGGACCCGGTGGGGCAGGGGGAACCTGATCTTGGAGTCCTGCAGGGAAACACAAAAGTCACACGATCAGACGTTAAAGCGCCAAACAAAGGCGCTAACGGTTGTCTGTCGCCAGCTTCATGACCGCCAGGTTTAAAGATGGAGACTCGAAACCTGGAAGAGGAATCTGGCCATTGGTGTGGCGGGTTTTCAAGCTGGAGCTGACAATGGTGGCAGCAGCCCAGAGAGAGTCCCGCCTCCTGATGAGGGAGGGCAGCGAGAGGAAGACTTACGTGGAACTGCTTGATGGCGGGTCTGCGACACTTGTTGGCGGCGATCACCTGCACCTTCATGATCTGGATTGAGTGGGCACGAGCACGATGGCGAGCTCCCATGTCACGATCTGAAAGAGAGGTTAGGAGGCAGAGCTTAACAAACAGGAAGCAGCCGCTCTGTGCAGACATCTGTTGATAAAATCTTCCACGCCCTGCAAAATTAAGGGTTTTTAGGGTTTAGATAAAAATTAAACCCTAAAAACGCTCAGACGTCACCTGCTGCTCTTCGTTTCTACTAAGGTTCAATTTTTAGATTCAGATGTGAGCGAAATGCTCGCCTTCCTGCTCGTTAGAGATCATTGATCAGACGCTGGAGGAAACGGCATCAGTGATGGAACAATAATAGTTCAGTAATTTTAGATGTTTAAATTAATCCTGTTAAATAATCCAGATGATGACATTAATTCATCATTAAGCCTAAAACCTCCTTAGAGGCAGGAGTTACGTCCACACTCAGGTGTTTGACCACCAGCTGTCAGCTCAGACCAAACACACCACAGCGCTGACACACAGCTGGGTTTAGCAGCTCAAACAAAAACCAGTGAACAGGCGCTTCAGAGCGCTCGTGCGAGCTCAGCTGGATGTTGGAGCCAGGAGGTCCTTAAAACCGTGGAGAAACTGCAGGAGCACGCTCAGATGCCATGAAACTACAAAACGGAAATGATTCTGCAGATTTACTGTCCGAGGTTTCCATCGGCGCGTCCTTAGCAGAGAAATCCTCACAATGAAGAACAAGTCAGAAAAATTTAATCTGGCTGCACGCTGACCGTCGTTAATTTTACTGGCGAAAACATTTCCAAGTTTTCATCAGCAAACTTTTTTCCTGACAAAAACACAACGATCAATATATCTGCCAGGAAAGCACAAAGCCAGCTCCCCATTTCTCATGAAAACACGACAAAAGGTCAAAATCTGAAATCATCTTTAATATTTTGCTGCTGTGAAAAACAGAATCCCCACTTTTGGGATTAACCGTAAACCAAGCAGATCCAAACCTCATTCTCACCGTGATCCAGGTAAATTCGTCTGATTTCTAAAAACAGTTTCTAACGGCGCCTCGTTGGCCCGCTGTTAGTACTCACAGCACTGAGTGACAGCTCCAGATGTGGTGAGGTCCCTGTACTCTCTGTACATGTTGTGGGTGCCGCTGCGGGAGTCGTAGCGCAGCCAGATGCCGAAGTTCTTCACCTTCAGAGGCGTCTTCTCGTTGACCTGACCGGAAAACACGACGAGCCATTAGACGATGTCAGAGTCGCTAACAAGGAAAAAAGAAATGAGGGTTAAACAGAGACTCACCAGGCCGCAGTAGACGATCTCTCCGGATGCCTTCTTCATCTTCCTCAGCTGAGAGACAAAGTACCAGAAGCGAGACTTGGCTACGATGTGGTTCGGGGCGAAGATCCTCATCCGGTAGAGAGGGGGGGCGGGGTTCTTAGCCGAGGGCAGCAGACGCCCAATGACCTTATACTCCCTAAGCTGTGGGAAGAAAATGAAGATGCGTCACATGTAGGTAAAATGATCAAAGCAACAACAGCGAGACAACAATAGGACATGTTGATCCCTGAATTCACTTTCAGAGGCACGACAGCAGCAGAGAAAGGCGACAAGGACCAAGTTCCTGTTCGCACGCCAGACAAAATCACGCCACGAAAACGGCGTGACCTTTGGGTTTGGGTGCGTACGGAGACATCACAAATGACACACAAGCTACAAATAACATTGCTCACTTAAACATCACCAAAAACAAACTAATAATAAAATAACAGTTTCATTTTCTTACCACAAACATTCAAACATGATTAAATTATCATTAAACTGACGGATCTGAGGTGTGTGTAGTGGCATTTTGGCTAAAAAACAAAAACAAAACTTTAAAATGACTTCAGTTTTTATTGATATCTTAAAGCTTTTTTGAACAATTATATTTTAAACTACAAATAACGCAATCCTCTAAAAATTTGTGTTTTTCTATTAAAAACAAGAATCCATAACTGTTTCCTTTTATCTTATACTTCCTCGGGGTTAGGTTGGGTTTTTTTGCTGTCATCATTAGCCGAAATCTTTCTTAGCATTTCCTATTTCTATCACCACCACAGGTGTGCACACACCTGCCACTGAATTATTGAGTATCTGGAGAAAACCTTAAATTGGGCTTTTTTAAAAAAGAGGTTCTGCAGCCGCTCCATTCAGTGCTTTCTATACGGATTAAAGGCAGTTCATTGAGTCCGTGTTTCAGTTTGTGCTGCCAAGCCTTTGTGTCTGTTTCTGAACACTTTATATCAACTCCAGTTCTGGCCTACAGTGGAGAATAACTGCTGTGAGCTGGAGGAGTTTTTACGGTACTCATTCACTGACCGCACTCGCTTTGAAAAAGCAGCGATTCTACAAAAAAAACTGTTTAAGACTTTAAAAAAAAAAAGCTCCATAAAGTCCAGATATTTATAAAACAATGATTAAAAACTACAGTTCCTACTAAAAAACCGGCTCACTATGCCTGGTTAAAAAGCACGCCGATAGCTCGGGTCAGAGATGAACTCACATTAGCTGCTAACGTTAGCTTCTACTAGCGCAAATCAAGTTGCGCTGAAATTAAATCAGATTAAATATGATCAGTGCTACTGCTGGACCGCTTTCCACACCTTAAGCCGAGCTCATTTTCTCAGTGAAGGCGTGAGAGCTCGCACTCTCTCCGGCTGCAGCCCTCAGTTTGAGCCCAGTCCACATGGTGCTGACGCCATGTTGTAGACGCGAACGCACCGGGGTGAAAAGACTCAAATTGCCGCTTTAAGTCGCACTTTATGGAAATAGCTCTGCACGAGCCCCTCAAACTAGACGTTATTTTATTAAATGTGCTGTTGGAAGCCGCGTGTGAAGAGTGAAAAAGTGTAAATTTACGGTTTACGTACTGTGCCGGACGCCTTCATGGTGCCTCTCGCTCACTGCCACAGTAAAAGAGGAAGCAGCAGGGCGGAGCATGCGCACGTCAAATGGAGGGCGGAAGTTCCATAGAGGTGCCGTCCGAGTTGAGTTCCCCCCAGAAACCGAAGAAGATAAGTTATTGACCCATAATCTGTCAAACATCTGTCAAACAATCTGTGTCAGCGATGGTATGACTTCATTCTGAGGCTAAAATCTGTTTTTAATGAAGGAGGGTTAAATGGCAGGAAGCTCTGGACTGATTATAATACAAGTGATTTCTTTATTTGAAATATATCCTCTTTATAATCCTGCAGCGTTTTACCAGAATAATCATGAACACTGGACATCAAACACACAGATGTATGTTTACATATATCTGTCTATATCTTAAATAGAAAGATATAGTGCTTATCCCTATATCCTTATAAGAAAGATCAGGCTTCCTGCTGTTTAATGAACAGCAGGACGAGTCTTCAGTCAGCACATCAAAGCACGGAGGAGAAAACAGGCTTGTGGTTCAATCCCCGTTTAGAAATACTGTT